ATGCCCCACCTTGCCGCACTTATAGCAGCCCGATGATCCCCGTCTACATGCCCCCTCATGAGGCCTGGCGCATTTCTGGCAGCGGCTCGATCCTGACTGGCCTTTCGGCCTACCATCTGATCCCTTGGGATTCTTCCCCGAAGCCCCTCCTGTCTTTCCCTCCTCTATCTTCCTCTTCCGGATGTGCTCTAGATCTATTTCCCTCTCCCTCGCCTTGGCAATCATAGAGTCCAGGGTAGGGCAAGCTGAAAAATTGACATGTTCCCGAATATCAGCTCATAGCATATCATGATAGCAGGTCCTCCTCATATCCTCCTCACCCGCATACTGGGGCACCAACGACGCCCTCTCTTGGAACTTGGCGGTGATCTCCACCACGGTCTCCGTCGTCTGCCTCATATCTAAAAACTCCCTGGCCAGCTGGTAAAGCTCGACAGCTGGTGCAAACTCTGCCCTGAACCTGGTCACAAAGTCCGACCAGGTCATAGCCTCGACATCCGAGGCTCCCAACGAGTCACCAATGAACTCCCACCAATCCCTAGCTCGATCTCGTAAACACCCTGCTGCAAACCTCACATTCGACCACTCAGGGCAGAAGCTAGTCAACTTTGCAGACTCAATGTCTGCAATCCATCGCCTGGCAGTTATGGGGTCTTTTGCCCCATGAAAATCCGGCGCACCACTGCCCCTGAAGTCCTTAAAGGATAGTGTGCGAGATCCCGACTGGCCAGATGCCATGTCGCTCCTGAACGCCCTGAGGCGATCCTCCATCAACTCAACTATCCCCTCCTTGATCGACCCGAAGATGATGGGGGTTGACTCAAGTATGCATCTGGTGATCTCTGACGCGATGAACTCACGTAGCCTCTCATCTACTAGCTCGGAACCTGATCCGGAACCCGATCCCTCTCCTGAACCGCCAACTGTTAGCCTCGGACGTAGCACCACCATTCTGCAACACATAATTAACACCCGTTAGCGATATTGATACCTCTGGAGGGATCACCCCTACTACAAGTTCCCTGGTCTTATCTTGGCCTTCCTTGGTTTAGGTGCGGATCCTCTGCTTCCAGTAGTACGGGCCCATACTACCTTCCACATCTATCTGTACCTTCTTCAAGGACTGCCTCGACTCCACCAGATCCCTTACACTACTGTTAATCACTGCTATACTCATCCTAGGCTTGCCCTAGGGAGTTCTCTGACTATACCCGATCCAGTCCTTAGCTGCTAAAAGCCTCCCTAGAATGCCAATTAGCCATTACCTGAATACCATCACATGCAGCGAGGCTCGGATAATCCTTCAAGTAAAAGGCTCGTCCCTACAACGGTTAGACTCATACAAGAGTTGCACAATAGGGCCAAGTCTAACACTCTAAGATTATTCAACTATGTTCGCATGTGACGCGATGCATTCACGTAATGGCTAACTCCCATCACTTAGAGTACCACAAAGAACAAAGCAAGCAGCATTCAGACATAGGAGACTACTCAAGCAATTCTATCCTCATAATGGGAAATTGTACTAGTATTTGCTAGGCTCATGTTATCAGGCATAACCTAACAGGCTATCCTACTGCTGTCTACTCAATCCTAGCATGCAATTTTCATATACTGAAGCAGATAAAGCAGGCACATAAGGCATCACTCCTAGATCCTTAGTCCTATTCTAGCATGTTGTTCTACTGAAACTGATAATCATAAATAAACTTGTATGGGTACATTGGGGAATACTTACTTGAGCTCGGCCGGTCGCGCACATCACACACTTTGTTTCTTCTTAAAACTCTTTACTTATCCTTTGAGAAAACATTGTTCTTTTTCAAAATCTTTTAATCCCTTGATTTGAGTTTAGACACCCCTGAAGGTGTGTCCGAATCCCTCAAACCAGGGCTCTGATACCAACTTGTAACATCCCAAAAATACGAGCCGAAAATTTCATTTTTAAAACAAATACGTAGCAAAACATTAGAAATAAAACATTCACCGATCATAATATTTCATAAAAGATGTGCATGTCTGGAAACCAGTTTAATAAAACATAACAATGTCAGAGTACAAATCCCCAGGAAGATCTCTTAGTGCGGAATACAAAGCGTGTGTGTGATGTCCCGCTACCGCGCCAGCTCCTTCCCCTTCGAAGAAGAGGTACCTGAAACCAAAATTGAAAATTGTAAGCACGAAGCTTAGTGAGTTCCCCCATCATACCACATACCATACAATCACATATCATACATACTGCCGGGCAATTCTGGGGTGCCCGACTTACCCGGTACAGCCATTCTGGGGTGCTGACCTACCCGTGTCAAGCCGTTCTGGGGTGCTGACTACCCATGTCAAACCCTTCTGGGGTGCTGACTACCCATCGTCCCTAACAACCGATCCTCGGGGACTATTTCACCCCCTACTGCTACTATCACATATATCATAACATAACATATTATCAGACATATATAGGGTGCCTGAAGTACCCTTCGGTCTCATCAACCGAACTCGGGGACTAGTCCCCTCCTACTACCTCTATCGCATATAACATAACAAGCCAGCGTGCAAACATATCACCACATATTGTCAAACGTATCTGGGGTGTCTGACTACCCTTCGGTCCTAACAACCGAACTCTACTACTATCACATACCACGTATCATGCTAACATATAACATATCAGGTAATAGCAAACCTAGATGATATCACAAAGACAATCATCTACCATACGTCTCCTACAGGTGGGCCGCCATTATGGCCTTATACCCACTGCTACTGGAAGGTAACTCACCTCGAGAGTAGCTGCTAAAAACCTGCTCAACCTACGCCCGGCTGCCGCACCGGTAATCCCTCTGGCTATAAATCCGTAAACATGGATTAGGTACTCATAAATACCCCTTAGGTCAAATGACTGGTCAAAGTCAACTTCTTGGTCCAAGTCAACTCTCTGATTGACTGGACTCGCCGAGTCCATATAGCGACTCTCCGAGTCCTTCTACGTCTAATCCGACTCTTACTCTTCAACTCCCTGTTCCCACTCACTGAGTCAGCCTGACTCATTACTTGGGATGATTGGTCCAACTCATGACCCGATTCGCCGAGTTTGAAGAACAACTCGCCGAGTTCCAGGCAATCTTCATAGGACTCGCCGAGTTGTTCATCCAACTCGCCGAGTCTAAGGCCATCTTCATGGAACTCGCCGAGTTGTTCGACCAACTCACCGAGTTCCTTCAAACCTTCTTCCTGTACATGCCAAATTTGAGACATGCAACGGATCCAACTCGTGGGTCTCAGTTCCTAGGGTCTGGTTATCGCATATACACATGAAATCTGGGCGTTTTAAGGCTTGAAGACCACCCATTGGGGACAAAAAGGAACCTAAGAAGCTAATGAACAAAGTGGGGAGTTTTATTACCTGATTTGATGCCTTCTACAGAGTAGATTTCGGATCTACCTTCACTTCTGGAACACTCCAACTTCTTCCTTCTTCCTTAAGCTCCAAACCTTATTTGGAAGATCAAAATCACTCAAGAACACTAAAGGGGGGCTAGGGTTGCTCTCTACTGCTCTCTGGGAGTAAATGGGATGAAATGGGTGTTTTGCATGGGCAAAATTGGGGTGCAACATCTTAAGGTATAGTTTCATCCAGACAGGTGAACTCGTCGAGTCCATATACCGACTCGCCGAGTTCCCCGCTTAAGTCCCGTGTCCACCTCGCTGCTACTTGGTGAGTTGAGACGCATACTCGCCGAGTTCATGGAAAAAGTTAAAAAATATCTAAATAAAATTGTACTAGGAATCCGGTGTTACATAACTGGTCCAGCACTCGAAATTATTGGCTTGGTCGTCGGAATTTTCGAAGGATAAACTTTGCCCACAACTTTAGCTTCTCCATGCAAAGCATCACCTTCAACCTTCACATGAGAACCTTCTCCACCTCTCTATTCTCCCCCTTGCACCCCTGTTCAAATAGGAGGGGCACCTGTTGGTAGAAGATTCGAAATGGTTGAGAGAGGAGCTAGTTGTTTATGAATAATGGCTTCGAACTGTGTAAACTTTTGTGAGATAAACTCTGGAGAAATTATCGAAGATGGAACAGGCTTGAGCACTGACTCCTTCAAATCTTTGAGCATTGAAATAACCTCCCCAAACTGTTGATTGTCAGTTGTAGAACGTTGAGTAATTTAAGGACTCAAGCTTTCATACAACGTAACATATTTCGTGACAACATCACGAATAATATCAACTTTCTTATGCAGAGTGGCATAATCATTTTGAACAACTGCAACTTCACGAACCATGTCATCATGAAGCTCTTGAAGCTTCAAATTTACATCTTCTCTCACCTTCTTCACATACATAATGAACAAAGTATGTCTTTCTTTTTGAACATTTGTTAGCTCTTTGACAACCCCCACATACTTTGAATTAAAAGAATTTACCCTTGACTCAGTGTTTTGATCATTTTGATCAACCTTCTCTAAGATTCTGGTCTAGGTATCTCTAATCATAACAGACATCCTGCTCACCATTCATGCTTCGAAAGCCTTCATGAGTCCATCAATTTCAAAACTGGACACTGAACTTCCTCCCCCCATGTCTGCTTGAGACTGAATAATTGAATTCATCTTTTTATTTAGTATTTTGAATTGTTTCATGGACATAAGCATATGGTCAGGGAAATCCTCTTCTTCTTCATCAAAAACCATATCTTCAAAAGTACCACCAAAGCCACCTTCTTCATTATCAGATTCAACATTCTCTTTGGGTGGATCAGTGGATTGAGATGAAAAAATGGATGTAAAGGGTTGGTCCATGATGTTTTGAAAGGTTGGTGAATCAGTGGTGGAAGTAGTACGGATAATAAATGTAGGTAAAGAAACAAAGGTATTAGTAATGGGTTTGATAGAAACAGTAACTAGAGTACCTTGTGGAGGTTGAGTAGTTTCCTTCGATAGATCTCCTTGACCCATGATGACATATACACCTGTATCAGATACATTTGCAGTGATCTCTCAAGTACGTACCTCCTCATGAGATGATTTGGCGGACGAAACTCCGGGTGGTATGACAACAGTCTTCGCAGGATAAGTAGTCTCTATAATAGGTTCGGGTTCGGGTGTTTCAGGCACTTCTTCTTCTTCGGATGATTTCGTTGGAATTACTAACTGCCTCTTCTTTGTATTCTTCTTTTTCTTTGAAATCTTCTTGGCCATATCCTCAGCCCTTCATTTCTTTGAGTGAGGAGAAACTAGAGGTGCGACTTCGCACATAACTACTCCTTGATGAGTAATATAAGGCTTGTGAACCACATTTGAAGTAGGAGAATTACCATACTTCAGCTTTAATCTTTGAAAAACTCCAGTCTACGAAGGAATAGTAACTGAAGTTGGTTCTGTAACAACAGGTTCTACAGACTTTATCACAATTTTCAAAACTAACTCATCTGGCTTCGTTGTTTTCTTAGGAGACTTTGATTGCTTTGTTTCTTGAACATTTGGCTCAGGATTGACAATCACAACTTGCTTTGTTGTTTTAGATTTCTTCGAATGACCCGCACCTTCTTTCGTTAACAACTTCCCAGTTTCAACTTTGGGATCAATTGTTGTCATATAATCAATAAGCACATCATTAGTTGGATCAACCTTTTTCAACATGGCATCTGGAATTCGTGCAACATGTGAAAAAATTTCTTTATCATCAGACACTTCTTTAGGAAAATTATACTTTGAGAAATCTGCAGTTTCATCCTCAGCCTCCACCAGAATTTCCTCTTTATCATAGAAATATCTGAGGATAAGACTCCAATATTGTGCACACGAAATACCTTGCACGACATTCGTATTCTCTACACTCTTTTGAAATTCTTTCCATAACTGTGTAGAGTAATCCACCGGTATATCATAATAGATACCTACAACCATTGCATAGACTTCCATACGTCCTTTATCAAGCCCAACACTTCGACCTATTAAGCATCTTAGAAAGACTCCAAAAAATAAATTCCAGATCATCAGAAGACCGGATTTTTTAAAATCACTAATCTTGGTGAGTGGGGGTTGATGACCTATCTCATTGAACACATGATTCACTTGAACAGTCGAAAGAGCAGTGAATGCTTGAGAATTTTGAATGTCCAAAATTTGACAAAACAACTTCTTTGTCAATCGTACCTTCTTATCATTCACCAAGTTGAATGTGATTACATATAGGGCTTTAGAGTATGTTGCAGTAGAACCTGCTTGTGAAAGCCAGGATAAATGTACTGCAAAAGAATTAAACATATATGTTAAAAGAATACAGCTCTTCAGGGCAACCACCAACATCTTCAATCCTTCAGGGTAAAAAGATTCATCCGCTTCTACTTGATAGTTTGTTCCTTCAATCTTCATGATTGGTAAAGATGTGACATCTTCTGTGGTTTGGGATGGTGCATCAACATTAGTTTGATCAGCCATGACTAGGGTTGTAAAATCGTATGAAGAACAATTGGATTTTTCATAGAGAATTTGAGAATTTTTCTTCTGAAAGCGTAAACTGATAACAAACCCTTGAATTCCTTTTTATATGTAACCCTGATATTTAAATTTGAAGCGGGAAGTGTATATAATGAAATCCAATGTGGCACCTTGGACTCGCACCACTATGTCGAGAAAGTAGCCACGCGTGAAAAAGTAACTGTCACTTCGCCTTGAAAACTGGATAGAATACAAGACGTCACTTCTCACAGCTTGTTTATTTCCCCCAATGTAATATGAACCATCAGCAACCTTTGGATGGAGGTTAGGCACTTTCGCTTTTGGGATTTAAAGCGAAGTCATGTGCCAGACTTTCGAAATCATCAGTCTGAGTTGGTATTACTTAGAACCTCAAGCATTTCGTGAGTGCAGTGTGCCAAAGAAAAAGATAAGAATCAAACAAATATAAACTTCCGATTTGTGATGTCAAAATATTTTGACACGAAAACAGTTAAACTCCGAGCAAAAGTTTATTCGTTAGTTGTCAAGAGAGATAATCAACTACTTGTGTGTTTTTCCGTGAATTACAATCGAAAACCTATTGAGAAGTTTTGAAGGGATTCTTTCTCAAGGATTCATGGGTGGGTACACAACTTCGTTACATATCATCCAAAACATAAGGTGAGAAAATTGTAACAGAAATCACTTGTTTGACCAGTGTATCAGTGACAAGTATGCTTTGAATTTAATTTGAAAGTGACTTAGAAATCAAATGAAACTCACATGAAAATCATATTCATAAAAAATTTGTGTTGGATCTTGTTGGGTAACAAACATCGTGGGTTTCTATAATTTTATCAAGATCACTCATACGAAATGAATATGATTTGGAGTTTTGAATCTAGGTACAGAAACAAAAGTTTCGTTAAAAACTGGAACAAAGTTCACCGTCAATTCCTTAAAATCTTGAGAATTGGGTTTCACTTTCATCACGGTCTCATGATGTCAGATCATTAACACAGATTTTTGATATGTCTAAGCCTCAATGGGTTTGATCAAAGACCTCTTGGACATATGTCTATGTGTGTGATCGTGTAAGAATGTTTAGATGAAAAAGATTGGTTTAAGAATTCGTGTGTACCTCTGTTATTATGGACAAAACAGTAAACTCTTAACTCGTGTGAGAAGAGTCAGGTAGCTCATTTGACTAATGTGAATATAAGCCTGTCTTGGGAAGAAATTTGTGTATGAAATATTTCATTAAGGCTTTCATTAAACACACATAGAGTCATTCGAGGCTTTGGTCAACATGTTGCAGCATGCTTCTAGGGACACCTTAACTAGTTCAAGAGTTTCAAAAGGTTTACCTGACCCTAGAACTACAAGCAGTAACCATTGAGAATCATCTTTGTTACCTGAAACAAAACATGAAGACAAAACAATACAAAACAAAATATTTTTGTGATTTTTTATTTTTCGAAAATAAAAGAGAAAACAAATAAAAATCTTTTTCTTGTTTTCGTGTTTTTCGAAAAGAAATGACAAAACAAGCGAAAAATGTTTTTGTTGATTTTAAATTTCTCCAAAATAAATGACAAAACAAACGAAAAATCTTTTTGTTGTCTTTGAATTTTTCGAAAATAAAAATTACTTAACGAAAATATGTGAAATGTATCGGACACACAAATTTTTCAGTTCCAATTTACGAAGACGAAGGGTAACGGAGCGTTGACTATGAACAGTAACCTTTGAATTTGACAACTGTCCAGTTATCGTTATTCTTTCGAAATAGAACTCCCTTCGACCATTCCAAGTCCACATTCTCACAAACAATTTTTCATCTAACGGTTTTGTGAAAATATCAGCCAACTGATCAGTGGTTTTTACGAAATGCACTTCAATATTACCATCCTCTACACGATCTTTTATGAAATGGTAATGAAGAGCAATATGTTCAGTCTTCAAATGCTGCACAGGATTATGACAAATACGAATTGCACTTTGTGAATCACAGTATAAAGGAATTCTCTTCATGTTTATTGCATAATCACGCAATTGACTTTGAATCCAAATTATTTTTGATGTGCAAGCAGCAACAACAACATATTCTGCTTTAGCAGTCGAAATTGAAACACATGTTTGCTTCTTTGATTGCCAGCTCACCAATTTTCCATCAAGTAATTGACATCCTCCACTCGTGCTTTTTCAATCAAGATTGCAACCTCCCACGTCAGCATCTGAGAAAGCTTGAATAAAGAAACCAAATTTTGAAGGATACCACAATCCTAACGAAAATGAGCCTTTGAGATAATGAAAAATATTCTTGACTGCAGTTAGATGTGGTTCTCATGTATTTGACTGGTACCTAACACAATTACACACAGAAAACATGATATCAGGTCTACTTGCTGTGAGATAAAGTAATAAATCTATCATGCTTCAATAAAGAGTTAAGTCAACTGTTGGTTTATCTAACGAATGTGTAAGCCTTGTTCCAATTGCCATTGATACTCATTATTTTGTGGTATTCGTCAATCCAAACTTTTCATGCAAATTCTTCGTATACTTTTCTTGGTTGATAAAAATTCCTTCTCTTCTTGACGACTATATAAACCAAGAAAATTATTAATTTTTCCCATCATTCTCATTTCAAATTTGCTTTTCATCAGATTTTCAAATTCATTAGATAAAACAGGGTCAGTAGAGCCAAAAATAATATCATCGATATAAATTTGAATAAGCATAAGATGATTCCCAACTTTCTTTCGAAATAATGTGGGATCAACTGATCCTTGTTTAAATTTCTATAGTTTTAAGAAAGAGGTAAGAGTTGCATACCAGGCTCTTGGTGGTGCAAAGTCACACTTGGATGAGGCTTTACCCACTTGTATGTGTAATGGGTTGCCTTTCCTTTATAAGGAAGTGAGTGGCACTCATTTTATGTAAGGAACACTTTGAGAGCAATAGTTTAGAGATAGAAAGAAACTGCAAGACCCATTTGTACTCTTTCTATGAAAACTAATGAGAGCCTAAAAAGAATTATTTGCTTCTTGTGTTCTTGATTTTACATGATGATTCACTAGATCTTTCATATTCCGCACATGCCATCTTAATCAACACCACATTAATTGGTATCAGAACGTGTGTTCTTAATTTGATATAAAATTGATCCTTGATGGCTATCTTGATTTGGTGATTCTTCATGTTCTTATTGATCTTCATGATTAGAGAGTGTTGTGTGTTCTAGAAGTCGAATTTTTACTTGATTTAATCGATAATTCGACTTTCTCTCTCTAGAATACTTGTTTGTGTCTCTGTCTCTCTCTAGAAAACTCATCCAAAATCACTTTCTCTCTAGAAATTTTCAAGTTCTTGTAATCATGGATAAATGGATGATACATAGTAAAGATGTTCAATGTGAATGCACTTTTGAATATCTTCTTTATAACTTGACAATTGGATTGAAAAGTGAATGTGATATCGTTGTAAATGGAGAAAAGAATGAAGTTGGAGAATTAATTAGTTGTCCAATTTTTCAAACCAAATATTTTTTTTTGATCGTTTGGTTACAACATATCAAAAGAGACGAAGAAATAAGAAAGAAAGTGAAGTCATAAAAGGAATTCCTCGTGTTAAATGCAAATATGGAAGTAATAAACTTGAATATTATGCAGATTGTCGGGAAGCTCGGGATGGAGTTCGTGATGATGATCATGATGTTCGAGAAAAAGGAGTTCAAGTTGATTCTCATGAAGAAAAAGTTTTTTGCTCGATCGGAGTTCAAACCGATGATATTTTGTGTTCTTGTGATTTGTTTGAAGGAATGATTCCGTATCGAAAGCCGGTGATCCAAGAAATTCACAAATATCAAACTCCAAAATATTTGATTCAAACTCACAAAGTTCAAGTTGTGGAAAGTGGGTTTGTTCATGAAGTCAAGTCTTCAAGATGCAAAAATATGAGAAAGAAAAGAAGAAGAAGATTAATCGAACAAACAAGCGGGTTTACTCACAAAAATCGTCAAATGTTGTGAAGATGAAATCCGTGAAGCAAATTTGGGTTCCAAAGCAACAATCTCCAAGTGTTGCATTGAATTTGAAGTCAAAACCCAAATGTGTTGGTGGTTCTTATAAAAATGTTATTGCATCGTTGAA